CTCCCAGCAGCTCCTTCAGCCGAGAACACAGGCGTGGATGAATCCGCAGATGAGTGTAGTGCCCCCATGATCCAGTCACCTTCCAGACCCGCAAGAATTTTGGGGGACACTTTAGGTCGAAGCCAATACAGCTGGCTTCCAGTTTGGGCTTTTCTGAAGAGCTCTGTTGCAGACATTTGCATGCAGATTCTTTTCACTTTTCCTGGGTGTATACCCTAGGAGTGGAATTGCTGCATTTTCTGACGGCTCTTCATTTAATATCTTGAGGAAGTGCTAGGTTTTCCCCAAGCGGCTGCACCTTTAATACCCCCGCCAGGAATCTCTGAGGGGCTCTGTGCTGTGTCTTTGGAAGGTAGCTGTGCTAACCACTGTGCCCTCCACGTCCCCGGCTTGTTCTGACTCGGGTTCCTCCAAAGCCCAGGACAGGTGGACAGGTGGACAGGTGTTCTTTGTAGTGTGCATGTCTGTGTCATAAAAAAAGACTGTGAGCCGGGGATTTAGCTCAGTGGTTCCGCCGCCTGCCTTGCAAGTGCAAGGTCCTGAATTTGATCCCCAGTACCGAAAACAAAAACAAAAACAGACTGTGAAGTTCAAATTTGAGAAGCCAGAGATATGGCCTGTGGAATATAGGCCTCACATTTAAATGTGAATCTCATATAGAAAACTAAGTTCTGTGTGTGTGTGTGTTCACAGTACTGGCGATTGAACCCAGAGTCTTCACAGTGAGCTACGTCCCTAGCCCTTTTAATGCTATTTCATTTGTTCTTGAGAGAAGGTCTCACTGCGTAGTTCAGGCTATTACTGAATTCACTACGTAGCCCCATCCTGGCCTCAAACTGAGGATGATTCTCCTGCTTCAGCCTCCTGAGTGCTGGGCTGATAATCATTCACCACAACGCCCGGCAGTTTTTGAGATAATGTCACTAAGACGCTGAATTGCCCAGGCTGGGCTTGAAATTGTGATCCTCCTGCCTCAGCCTCTCTCAGAGTCCTGGGATTACAGGCAAGCACCACCATGCCTGGCTGTACAAAGAATAACTTTTAAGGTTCAGTATATCCCAAACATTGCATGGGATATACTTATTTTAAAATATTTATTTTTTATTTTATTTTTTGTCTTTTTGAGACTGTTTCAGTATGCAGTTCCGGCTGGCCTCAAACTCACATTGTAGGCCCAGCTGGCCATGAGCTTGCAGCGATCCTCCTGCCTCAGCCTCCCAAGTGCTGGGATTATAGGCGTGCTGCACCACGTCCGGTGAAAATTTTATTTTAAAAAAAAATCTGAAATTCAAATGAATTGCTAACTCTGGCCACCCTGCCTGTCTTTGCTGGTCTGTCTCAGACCAGTACTCAGAGCTTAGGCTTTCTCACCTGCAGCAGGGAGGGAGGGACGGGGCTCCTTGGGCAGTATCGCTGCTGCTGTGTGGACACTGTGGGTGTGACTCGGGCTGGAACCGGTGTCCCTGTCCCCTGAATCTGCCTTCCAGGCTGGGGTTGGCTTCCGTGGGGCCCCGGTGGGTTCGGGCCAGGAATAGCAAATGTCAGAGAAGGTGGCCGTTTCCAGGGGCCTGGAACAGGGCCTTTCCTCCTTCCTCTAGAGCGAGTGTGTGGCTTAATCTGTTCTGTGGGGACCGTGAACAAGGGACACGGTGGCTCTCTTCTCCCCAAGCGATTGGTTGCTTTTGCAATTTCTTTCTAATCTGTGCTTCTTTTGTGGGTGGTTCTCAGGGTGGATGGTTTGCCTCAAAGATACTGGATGAAGGCCTAGTGTCTCGGAAGAAAGCAAGCAGGGGTTGTGTACCAAGCCTTATAGTCTGGGTACTGAGTGTGTGTGTGTGTGTGTGTGTGTGTGTCGGCAGGGAGACTCTGCCAAGTGTTAACTCACACTTAAGGGGTAGAAGGCAAAGAGAAAGACCCAGATAGGAAGGAATGGTCCTCAGGGCAGGCTGCCTGTAGGAGGAGGAATTTAAGCTGGATCGGGATTGACGGGTGGCACTTAGGGAACTAAGGGACAAAGGGCGTTGCCAGGCGGAAGATAGAGCAGCTCAGAGAGGACCGTGCACATCCGGGGAAATCAACAGCAACGGCACGGCCAGAGCCTCAGCACAGGTCAGCTGTGGGCTGAGCTCATTTCTTTTCCCTCACAGGACACGTGACAGGGGACGCAGAGTCTTGGAGTTGGGCGAGGGCCATCAGCAGGCTGTTCAGTGGGGCTCAGGGCAGGGGTGGGATCCTGAGGGCCGTGAGAGTGAAGTACAGGGTCATGGGGAGCCATAGCGGGTGTCGGAGCCTGGGAGTCTCCCCCTTTATGAGGAGGAACCTGTAGGATGTTTGTGCAGCGGACACCGAGATCAGACTCCCTGGGAAAGCTCTTGCCCCACCCAGGTGAGAGGTAATGAGGCCTTGATCTTGAGCCAGGAAGGCAGGCCGGAAAAGTCGAGTCAGCCAGGAACAACACGAACACGTCCAGCCTTCCCGGCCCCGTGGCGGATGCGGGCGCCTCTGTCCCTGCTGCCCATTTCCTGAAGGTCTTCCTCGTGGATGCGCCCGGCACACGGTGGCCTTTTCCCCCTTCCGCACCTGCTGTGTTGCTCAACGCTGCTTAATCCTATTGTCCCCGCTGTGTCAGAGCAGAGCGGTGATTGTGAGGCTTTCACGGAGCCTGCCAGAGGAGTCACCTGCCTTGGCCTTTGGAAAGCGGAAACTTAGGCCTGGGTGTTCTGGGGAAAGCCTCTCACCGGGGCCTCTGCAGGCTTTGGGACTCAGCACCCAGAGCTCCCACCCACGAGGCTGGCACCGTCCCTGTTTCTCCTTTGTTTCTAAATTTGTCTTTCAGTGATTACAATGGGCGTGGAGTTGTTGCACGTACCCGTGCCGGACAGTGTGAAAGCTTCATATACGTTGACAACGCATGTGATCCCGTCGCCTCGGACATGTGTGATTTCTCGGGGGCGAGAGCGTCAGAAATATCTCTCGTAGTTGCCCTGGAGGGTTGGGATGTGATTGAAAGATTAGGGACCGTTGAAGTCACAGAATTATTACAGTAGAACACACGCTGCCGTGAGTCCTTCTCGAAATCCTCTCCCTCACTTGAAACATACCGGTCCCATCATCCTTGGCCCTTTCTGAAGTGGCTCTGAAGTCCTCTTTCGTGAGTGTCAAACACTTCAGAAACATCTAAGCGTGCACGGAGTGATGCGATCGTTTCTCACACCACACAATGCTGCTTGGGGTCCACACAGGCCGGGGCACTGGAACTGGTCCCTTCTACCTGCCTGTAACTCTGTCCCGCGGCCAGCTTCTTTTTCCTCCTCCTCCTCCTCTGCCTCTGATAGCCACCGCTCTGCTTGGTTTCTCTGCAAACAGGCTGTTTTTAGCGTCCGCATCCGCCTTCCTGCGCCTTAACGTACTGCGCTCCATGATCCGCCGTGTTGGTGCGGGGCAGAATCCCACCCCTCGTGGGCCTGAATCCGTCTCCCCTACCAATGTCCACGTCTAATTTCCTTTATCCATCGATCCACCGAGGGAGCCTCGGTCTGATGGCTGTGACCAAGAAGGGAGTAAAGTAGCCAGGCAGGTGAGAAGAGGGTTAGGGTTAGGGTTAGGGTGAGCAGATGCTGTCGGGACCTTTCTGAAGGACTGAAAATAGAACCACCTTACTATCCCGGTAGTCCCGGTGCTGGGCCCAAACTCAGGTCGGGGAGGAAGTGTCTGACTCCGCGTGGCCCAGAGCGGGGACCACCCGGCCGGGGCATCTGCTCACCTCTCTTCGCTCTCCTCCTGTTTTTACTTCTAGTGTGCCCGGGCATGGACATCCGCAACAACCTCACCAGGCTGCACAGTCTGGAGAACTGTTCCATCATCGAGGGGCACCTGCAGATACTCTTGATGTTCAAGACGAAGCCGGAGGACTTCCGAGACCTCAGTTTCCCCAAACTCGTCATGATCACCGACTACTTGCTGCTCTTTCGGGTCTACGGGCTCGAGAGCCTGAGGGACCTGTTCCCCAACCTCACGGTCATCCGCGGCTCCCGCCTCTTCTTTAACTACGCGCTGGTCATCTTTGAGATGGTCCACCTGAAGGAGTTGGGGCTGTACAGCCTCATGAACATCACGCGCGGCTCCGTGCGCATCGAGAAGAACAACGAGCTCTGCTATTTGGCCACCATCGACTGGTCCCGCATCCTGGACTCCGTGGAGGACAATTACATCGTGCTGAACAAGGATGACAACGAGGAATGTGGGGACATCTGCCCGGGCACCGCGAAGGGCAAGACCAGCTGTCCCGCGACGGTGCTCAACGGGCAGTTCATCGAGCGCTGCTGGACGCACAGCCACTGTCAGAAAGGTACGTGGGCACCCGGCTTCTCCTCGCCCTTCCGAATGGAGGCTGCGAGGCCGGGGCCGGGGGCGTTCACGCACGACAGGCAGCCAACGCTCTGCAGAGCCTCGGAGGGCGAGAGCTCTCGGCTGGAGCGCAGAGGCACCTCGTCCGGGAGGAAGCGGTCCCTGACCTCCTTGGCACTGGGGGCCAGGTTCGTGCAGGACAGTTTCTCCATGAGTCGGGTGGCGCGATGGTTGCGAGATGATTCTGTGGGACCGGTGGGCCTGGATCCCTTGAATGTGCCGAGGACAGGGTTGGTTCTCCTACGGGGAGCAGCGGGGAGCATCTAGCAATCCGGATAAAGTTGCCTTGGTCCCCCAGAGCTCCCGTCCCACTGTGTGTGGGGGTCCTTACAGACCGGGGGCTGGGGACCCTGGAGGCACCACCTCGGATGGTCAGTTTCACAATCTCTGAGGCCACAAACGGCACTGAACCCAATATGATGTGTACGTACCTATGGTGAAGCTTCATTGATAAAGTAGGCACAAGGAGAGATCGGCAGCAGTGACCAATGAGCCACTTCGAGTCGTGTACGGTAACAAAGCGTCCCGTAAGATCCCTGCAGAAGCACAGTGACACCGTGACTCTCAATCTGATACCCTCGATGGCTACTAAGTGACTGCGGGGTGGGGATGCTGGACAAAGGCAGCATTCCTGTCCCGGGGGGCCACAGCACGGTGACTCGAGTTTGCGCCATGCCACGGTGCACCGTAAAATCTTGTTTATTCCTGGCATTTTCCCAGTAAGCATTTTCAGACCACAGTTGACTGTGGGCGAGTGAAATCATGGGAAAGGGAACCTCAGATAGGGAGAGGCTTGTGTAGTGAACTCCGCTGTTGCGGTGGGCAAGCAGCCACGGGCAGGTGTAAGCACAGGATGGGGTCTCAATAAAACTTTATTTACACAGACAAGTCCCAGGTCAGGTCTTACCCCAGGGCCCATCACTAGTTATCTTCTGTGCCAAACAACGAATGCCCCTATGTTCCTCTTGCCTGAGGAAGGGGAGTGGTAGAGCATGGATTTATTTTTTATCTGAACATAAAAGTCAAATTGGCCATGATAGACATTTGGCAAAAGAACTGCGTAGAAAGCAAAACATCTGTCTTAGGCCAGAGGGAACCTTGCTGATTGTAGTTTTCTGGGCACACTTCCTTCCAGTGAGTACTGTTGTGTGTGAGATCTGTTGTGTGTTAATGTCTGTAAGCTTCTCTGGGATTGCATTTGGATCATTTCCAGTTTCCATCAAGACATTCTGGTGTTCAAACTTTATCTAGCATTTATTTCTTCAGGCCTGTTTTCCAGAAATGAAATTTCTGGGTCAGAGGCTCTGGCTCCCGATTGCCACATGGCTTTCCGGAAACGTCGTACCCACAACCGCTCCTCGTAGTGGTGGACCGGAGGGGGAACATCTTGGCCAGCCTCGAGTGCTGTTTGCAGATTCTTTGAGAATTTACTCGGGGCTGGGAGGAGCCCGGGCGTTGAGATGGTTTCTATTTGCACTGCTTTGGTTGCTCTCCGGTGTTGTACCTTAAAAAAAAAAAAAAAAAAAAAAAAGTGTTTGTTTATCACGTGGGTTTTCTTCTCTTGCTCACATCCTCTGTCCATGTTATCTTTTAGTGCCTCAGTGGTTTTCCAGATTTTTGGGAGTCCTTGTTTGCAGCACGTAGTACTCACGTTTCCACGTGGACCTGGTGCTATACACTATTCCTTTCTCCCCTCCTCCTCTCCCCTCAGCCCGCTCCATCTCTGCATCCCCTTCCCCTCAGAGACAGCTCCATCTCCCTGCTTGCTCTTACTGATCTTCTGTTTCGCTCTTTGTTTATGATTGTGGGTTTTTTTTTTTTTTTTTTTTTAGTTTATTGGTACTTGTTAGGTACACAGTACAGTTCCATTCATCATTGGGATCTTGTACCTTTACAGGACAGGTCTTGGTTCTCATTTTTTCCCCTTATCCCTGCCCTTCACAGGATTGTGGGTTTTGCTAGTTGTATCTGTCCACAGTTTTCCTTCGTGACGTTTGCCTGCTGACACGAGGTCCTGTCCGGTGGCCCTAAGGCTCCTGGATGCTCAGGGCTGGGGTTCCGCCTCTCCTTTCCGTACTCGGTGGCAGACATCACCCCAGTTTTGTTGCTGTCTTTCTTCACACCCAGGGCATTACTGTTCTGAGCATCAGCTTGATAATGTTTTCCTGTCCAGGGAGGTTGTTCCGTGCACATATTCATTGCTTGTTTATTGCTTTATTGGCCTCTTTCACACATTGTAAAATTCCCTGGGAAGGAATTAGTGAATGGGAGGAGGAAGAGGTCGGAGAAAGTGAGTGGGTGACTTCAGGGTTGTGCCACAAAAGATAGGAGAGGGGAGGAGAAAGGAGGGTCTTTTCACCTGCGGTCAGATCAATGGCGAAGGAGCAGAAGGAGAAGAAGCTGGACACAGAAAGGAGGGTGAAGACCACAGTTTTGTAGAACAGGACATTTGTGAGCTGGGAGGGAGTGGTGATCTTACGGGAGAGTGGAATGTGGGAGATGGGATGGCTTTCACTAATGGAGAGGGGAGGGTATGACACTGTACATGGGGTCTGCTGTATGATGAGGGCGTGCAGTCATCCTCCTGTCAGTGAACAGAGAGGTCACTTAGCTTGCCAAAGGCCACACAGCTAATAAAACCAGAGCTGGGCTTTGTACCAACTCTATGCAAGACACAAAAATCCTAATTTTTTTAATGGTGGTGGTGAGGCTGTCCACTCTGCTTTAGAAATAGTGGAGCTGCTTCTAGCAGAGTCACCAGGGTAAAGAATGAACAATCTTAGCCTTCCATGGCGATGTGTATAATAGGCCCCAGATAGTCAGGAGGCTGAGGCAGGAGGATCACTTGGGCCCAGGAATAGATCAGCCTGAGCAACACAGTGAGGCCTGTCTCAGAAAACAAACAAACAAACAAAACAACACAGAAAAACCAAAATAAAAAGATAAGAAAAAAATAATGAAGGAATTCTTTCGCCAGCACTGATTTCTCCAAATTTAAGTTGACATTTGAAATGCTTGCTGTGTCGAGGTAGAATTTACGCCATTCCTGTGTGGATTTATTTCTGCATCCGCTTCAGTCAAATTACCCAGACTGGAATTATCTGTAGTTTAGTCTCTTGCTCTCTGATGTTCCAAGGAGTTTTTTAATGGAAATTTAAACATCTTTTATTTTTGAGAGCCGGGCTGATTTTTCCATTTCTCACTGGGCCGTAGGGACTGCTGTGAAGGGACCCCTGTAGGGGCCTGGATCCTACTGTCTGCCACCCGCCTCTCCTGTGCGGGGGTCCCCTGTGTATCATCTGGTGCCCGTTCATGGACTCAAGAAATGATTGCCTTTTGAGCAGTTGTCCCCGTGTGTTGAGTTCAGCTCAGCCCTGCCCTTGTTCTGCTTTTTTTGTTTTTGCTTTTTCATTTTTTGAGACAGGGTATTCCATGTAGCTCAGGCTGGCCTTGAACTCATGGTGACCCTCCTCATGCCTCAGCTTCCCAGGTGCTTCCAGGCCCACACCACCGTGCAAGGCTTTTTGTCCTTATGCTGCTTTAAACTCAGCATCTTTATTACATAATATACATAATATGCTCTCCTGACTGAATTTTGACCCTGTGGAACGTGAGCTCCCCAGCCCCTTGGTTTGCACTGTTCTATTTCCTGTCTCTGTGGATCTGACGACTGTAGGGATCTCTTGGCAGTGTGTCCTTTGTGTCTGGCTTTTTTACTGACCATCCCGTCCTCAGGTTCACCTGTACCGTAGTGTGTGTCCTGACTTCTTTCCTTTTCATCGCTAAATACTATTCCCTTCAACCTTTGAATGCTTGGGTTACTTCCATGTTTTAACAGCTATGGATCTTGCTGCTATGAACATGGCTATAGCTTTTAAAATGCTTATGTTGACCTTGTTGCCCTGGCTTTGGGAGGATTATTTAATGTCTGCTGGGGTTTTAAAACATAAAACCGACCAAAACGAGCCTTTAGAAGGTCGTCCGTCCCATCTTAGAGGAACAGAAGCAGACCCATGAAAAGTGTGTCAGCTGTTCTTCCCCCACCCCGAGTCTTCTCAAATATCTTGTTAGGTATCTTGGCCTTCATCCTCTCTTGTCAGCTTCCTGAGGCATCCGGGGATGGGTCCTCATTTGTGGTCTGAGGGCGTGGAAGGGACTGACCCTGGTCCCTGAGGCTGCCAAGATGGTGGCCCCTGCAGACACCGACAATGGGACCAAAGAGTCACCGGGGAGGGGCAGTTGCCAGAGGCAGGACTCGGGAGATGTGGCCCTTTCCTGGCTTCAGGTCGTAGAACAGTCCCGAGGCTGGAGTCTCCTTAGGGCCCAAAGGTCAGCCTCGTTGCAGCCATTTTCTGATGGTTGTGGAAGTGCTCAGAATCAGCTTTCCTGTTCTGGCGCTGACTTCCAGTTCCTGCGCAGGCTTCCGGTTCCGGCACTGACTTCCGGTTCCGGCACAGGCTTCCGATTCTGTCTCGGTGCGTCTGCGTTGCAGTTTCCCTCCCTGGAAAGTGGGGCTCCTCGTGGGGCGCATTCTGTGGGTTCGCCCTTCCTGGGGTCCCCCGCCGCTGGCCGAATCTGGCCCTGTTTCTGACTCTGGTCTCCGTCGGTCTCCCACCCACCTCCTGGGGCGCCACGACTCCCGAGGGAGGGCACCCCGACCCCCAGGGGGCGCAGCTTGGACTGGGCTGGAATCTCCAGCGCTGGGCATTTTGAGGAACTGGAAGCCAGGGCCTGGCTGACCAGCTGCTCTGGCCAAACCCGCTGGCATTTGCTCTCTGGGAGGCCACCTCAGCTGCTCCCTGCTGGTCAAAGAGATGGGTGAGGCCAGGGGCCGGCGAGTGCCAGGGGAACTAACTGATGAGCAAGGACGCGGGCAGACACGGGCAGCCGAGCCGGGGGACCCTCCACCCTGCCTCTGCAATCCTATCTTCACCTTAGGGT